GTTTACGGTAAAATTATCTTGTGTGACCTTCTAAGAAAACAAGAAAGACGCGATACCTACGTATTTCCTATCCCATCGTATTAGGAGAGAATCACGCCAAACATACGCTCTCCTCGCGTGCGATCCAAAAATCTTTGTTCCCACACGCGACTCCTCCTCCTCCTCCTCCTCCTTCTCCTTCGGATTTCTTCCACGTCGCTGGAAAGATTCTTGTCCTCGTATGGCTTTTCTTCCGCGTAATCTCGTGAAACGAAGTTTACAAGGTCAACGAGGCGCATCAAGTTCCGTTTCGAACTTCGTTCGACGATCACGCGATCTTTCCTCGTGATCTGTCGGATCGAAAACTCCTCGCCGTCGACGACGAGGAAAACACGTCGTGTGCTATTTTAATACAAACGGTTTTACGGAAACCGAGCAACCGTAAAAATACACGTTTTATTCGAAGTTTAAAACTTGGAAAACTTCGAGTCGTCGTCTTCTTCTTCTTCTTCTTCGTATATTCGGTCAAATCTCCGCGAGAAAAAGTTTCGATATGAGAGAGTATCGATCGAAGGACCATCTCGCGATAAGAGTTCCATTTCGCGTTCGAGTTATTATACGCGCGAAAGAATAAATTCGCCGTTCTCGATCGAATAAAACGAACGAACGAATCTCAGATTTTTAAAAAAACCAGCCTCCGTTATCCATGCGAATTTTTTTATACGTTTAAGAAAAAACGTAAATATCGTTTCCATTTTCCCTCACTGTTGATTAACAAACACGAATCGGTATTAACTCGAGTTCGACGTTAACGCAAAATGATAATTTTTTGTTCCTCTTTCTTTTTTAATTTCCCCAAACTCGTTACAAACGAACACCTATCCTCCCAACTTGCCGACGAAAATTCTTCCAACCGCAACAAGTTTCTCCACGAGACACACAGCATGTTTTCGATACATTCCTCCTCCTTCGGGTCCACCAGTTTTCCTTGCCATTTAACACGAGCGTGGAGAGACATCGGGACGGGTTTGGCGGGAACGTTGGACGTAAATCCACGTCGTTCGAATGGATCCACGTCGGAATATTTAACGAGTCGATAGACGCGGCGGTTACGTAAACCAAGCCGGGTTTAATCGAAGGGAGATAAGCAATGGAAACGGAAAGCTTTCTCCGCCACAAGTTTTCGTGCGAAAAGGGCAAAGATACGTCCAAATTCTGCTCGATGTGTCTTCCTCGCTTCCGCCAACGAAAGTTGCCCGTACCAGATTTCTAAACGGACCCGCAAACTCGTCCATTACTCGATCCTTGTTTACGCTCGTCCACCGTGTAACTATTCGATAACGATGCCCTATCTACTCCACCCGAGGAAAAGTGTGTGGAAAAGTGACCAGCAGATCTCTTCGTGGACCTAATTTTTTTTTTTTTTTTCTTTTCTGCATTCCAGAGAGAACTTTCGAATTTTAGAATTTCGTTCACGTTCCAATTGCTCGCGCGAATTATCGAAAGCGTTTCCTTCGAGAGATCGTATTCGATTTCCCTGTCCGCGCGCGAGATTTCTTTCGGGCGAAATTATCGGGGTGACGATCGTTTCGAGGAATACGAAAGTAAGCTCGTTACATGTGTCGAAAGATAAGAAGAAGGGAGAAAAATGAGACGAGAGAAAGGTAAGGACGGGCAACTTCTCGCAACTCGACACCTGTACGAGACGGTAATATTCTCGTACAGGTCGGTGCAACGGCTTTCAAGGTGGAGACGTTTCCACCTGCCCGCTTCTGTAAACACGTACAAACCGCGCGCGACGAAAGAAAGAGAGCAGCAACCTCTTCTTATCTGCTCCACGGAAATGAAATGCGGTCGAACCGCTGTCGGATAGAATACGTGTCCCTCCTGGGGACGCCGAGCTTTCCGCGCCACATCCAAACTATCTCTCGATTCAATTTCAACCGTCAAAACTTTCCTCCTCTAAACTTTCCTTCCCCTCCCAAAAAGATCGCGTGGAATAATAAGTAAACCGAAAAAAAAATATCGCTCCTCCTTTTCGCGAGACGTCCCATTAACCTACCGACATTTGTATCTTAATATAGAAACATTTTAGCTAGTTGGATATTAAACAAAATATATTTCCGGTGCTACAATAATGTGTGATCTGTTATACCTACATCGAATTTTGTAAAGCTATTGTAAAGTCACATGGCGATACGTGTTACTTCGTATACAAGAAATTCTAAAGGAAATTTCAAAAACGGTCATTTGACCGCGCGTTGGTAGTGTTAACTTGTCGAGTGGATGGCTCAAGTGGGGGCCTAGATTCAACCAAAGAGGAAGGATAATGTGAAAGTGTCATCGAAGAGAAGAAGCAAATGCTAATCTCGCCGATAACAAACATACGCGACCTCTTCGATTGCCCCTTTTCTCCTCCGTCTTTATTTCCGCGCCACCGACACGCGAAACAAACGGCGCGAAGATAATGGGACGATAATAATGGGACGCAAGTGGTCGTCCCGAAACGTTCTCTTCGAAACGTTCGTTGCGATCGATGCGAGCAGGTTTTCAGGTGGATTCAATAACGGAGCCAGTCACGTTCGCGAGCGTGGACGAGGAGGAGGAGGAGGATGGATCTGGGCTGGCGCGTTACGTGGCGCTGGACTTTCGGATCCGCGAGGAGGAGGAGGAGGAAACGCGAAGGTCGATCGAAACGATAGAAAGCTAGGAAACACACACCTTCTTCCCCCTGAGCGTTTTCTTTCCTTCTTCTCTCGTTTTTCCTTCGCGCTTACTTTACCCTTCGACTACTTTAGATTCCAACTTTCGAACTAACGAATGGATAATACTAGTCTGGCTGAAGGTAAGGAGAGGTTTGGTTGATCGAGGTTTATCAACGAGGTATCGAGAGAAAGGGGTACCGGAAAGAAAGTTGGAAAAATTTCGCGATCCGGTTATTAGGAAAGTTTAAAAGTCGCGGAACACCTGTTGAGTAAGAGGAGAAGAGGTTGAAGAAGAGGAAGAGGCTGGTGCACGTTCGAAAGGTCGCGAGAAATCGTATCGACGATGTCTGAAACCGCGAGAAACGATCCGTGAATATTTTTCGTTTCTCGTTCGTCCCTTTAAATCGTCCAACTCGTCTCCACCCTCGTCGTCTTTCCCCTTTTTACGTCATTTCCCGCGCAGTTTCGACTCCCGATGCATTCGAAGCTGTTGGGTCTAGAAATGTGGACGGGGTGAAGCGAAGAAATTGAGGTCGGGGCCGAGTGGAGGAAGATCTGGTGGCCCGATGTTTACGAGAGAGAAAGAAAGAGAGACTGGACGAGCCTTTCGGCCTCGTCGTATGGGATTTCTCTCTGCAGACCCTTCGGGCAGCTGCTACCGCTTCGTCTTCCAGACTCGGGGATGAAATCGGAACACCCTGAGGATCCAAAGACCGAGCCAAATGTTTGGCGCGGAGAGAGAGAGAGAGAGAGAGAGAGAAAAGGGATACACGATTGATGCCATATGGTACGTAAACGAAGTCTCGAGAAATTAGAAAAAAAGGAAAAAGAAAAAGAGAAAGAAAAAGATAGAGGATTTTCGAAACGAGTTTCGAGGGAAAAAATCGGATGATGAAATAATCGGAGCTGGTCGATTTCGAAAAGATTTTGCAAGTGGAAAAAGATAGTCGAGTAGTCGATGTAGAAGAATTAATTTTGTAACCAGCTTAGAATTTAAATTGAATTACACATGCCGTGTATATAGATATTATACGCAGATATTATACGTAGGAGTGGTTCGTTCAGTAGTTGAGAATAAACAAAGTACGATCGTGATAACCATTTATCATCATCATCATCATCATCATCATCATCATCACTTAGTGCCAATTATATTAGCAAACGTTTCATATTAAATTTCATTTATTCCCGACCTCGAGTATCGCAACAATTCGAAACTAATTTCAACGATGTTTCGCGCTGTACAGATGTACAGTTGAGATATTGCACGAACGAAAGGTAGGATCGAAACGCGAGTGACGAATCAATGTGTAATTTGTCATGCGAGACGTTTGACACGAGGTAAAACTATTTGATATGTATCTTCGTTCTTACAAATCGCGCACGATCAAGAGAGAGAGAGAGAGAGAGAGAGAGAGAGAGAGAGAGAGAGAATATGTCGTC